ATGTCTGCTAACACATAGCTCAACTGCGACACACATGTCTGCTCTCACATAGGTCTGCTGCTCGCGACGCGCCGCAGGGCTTTTTTTATATGCACCGGGTGGATTCTTTGAATAACAAAATGTCCAACCAGAAGCGCCGCTGGTCATGAGGTCAGACTCCTCCAATGGGGTCGCCGCTGGGCCGCGTCATTCTTTCTCATCGAATCTGGAGAGGCTGCGCTGCAGGTGGCTGCACCCAAGGACGAGTGACGTCGCCAGGCATTGCGTCAGACCCGCCAGACAGGAAGGCGCCAGCTGCTTGCTCGACGGGCTCGCTTGCTGAGGTGACTCACTGCACGTGCGCGCCAGAAAGGCGCCGTCGCGTGTTGACGCCGTTGAGTTGTTCGCGTCAGGCGGGCTCGCGGGCTGGCCTTGACACAGATTGCCTTTCAGAGGCATTGACGTTCGCAGTGGACTCGCAGGCATAACACTATCTAGCCGCCTACGACATTTAGCTCTCCTGGCCATTTAGATAATGGTGTCGATAGCAAACTTGGTATGACATAACATGACTGTATGGATGACATATTTGACTAGTCATTACATGAAAATCATGACATGTATGTCATAAATGTCATTATTTACATTTTATGGTCCTCCAGCTCTTGCGGCGGTTTCGTTCACATGGCATGTTGCAAAACTGGTATTATATGACATGATTGCATGGCGAGCATAAGCGACAGACCCTAACATAAAAATCATGACATGCGTGTCATGTAACAACATGACCACATGCCAAGCTCATGATGCTTGATTGATATGTGTGGTTTAACGTCCCAAAACCACCATATGATTATCAGAGACGCCGTAGTGGAGGGCTCCGGGAATTTCAGCCACCAGGGGTTTTTTTAACGTGCACCCAAATCTGAGCGCGCGGGCCTACATCTCCGCCTCCATCGGAAATGCAGCCGGGATTCGATCCCGCGACCTGCGGGTCAGCAGCCGAGTACCTTACCCAATATAGACCACCACGGAGGCGTAAGTTCATGGTGCGCTCGCGGCCGTTTTGCTAGCGTCACATATACCAAATTTGCTATTACGGAACGTGAATGGTTGACGAAGGTATGTGACTGGTGCAAACATGATAATCATGAGATGCGTGTCATGTAACAACATGACTACATGCCGCGCTAATGATGCCTTGGCGGCCGTTTCACTAGCTTCACTCATATCAAATTTAGTAGTACGGGGCGTGAATGGATGACGAAGGTATAATACTGGTGCAAACATGGTAATATTGAAATGCGTGTCATGTAACAACATGACTACATGCCACAGTCAAGGTGCCAATAAATTTCGACGTGACGTGGTGCGCGTTGTCGCCGGCGTTCATTTCGACACGTCACGCCGGCGTTGCGACGCCAGGCGCTGGTTCTGCCGGACTCGCAGGCGCGCGCCGCGCTGCGTTGCTTTGACGCATGCGCGTTTCAGCGCGTCCGGCGTCCTTCCGTCACGAAAAGAGGGAGATGCAGTGTTGTCTGGGTAATGCTCATCGGCGCGAAATGCATCATGTCGCATTCCGCACCGGTTGCCGTCGGGCCGCGCCGACGGACGCCGGTCGCGTCTGGCGTCAGACTATATAGAGTGCTCGCGTTTTGCTAACGTAGCGTCACTGTTCCCAGCGTGCGCGCACGTCAACGCTACATTAGAGTATATTTGGCTCTTCTTGATGCGCTCTCAGACGTTTTGCTAGCTCCACATATACCAAATTTGGTGTTAAGTGACGTCAATGGATCACGAAAGTATATGACTGGTGCAAACATGATAATCCCGACACGCGTGTCATGTAAAAACATGACAACATACCACGCTCATAGCGTGCTCGCAATCATTTCGCTAGCTCCACATGTACTCCATTTGGTATCACGTGATGTGAATAGATAACGAACGTAAACGACACATCTAAACATGATAATCATGACACGGAAGTCTATGTACGGCATCATTTACCTCCACGTAACGTTGGGCTGATTTTAAAGTGACATATCAACCTTTATTATTCATGCTTCGCATATCATCGATTCCCACTGTATACGTGGGATCTGCCAATTTTTTCACGCGCTTCGTCGCGTCTTTGACGCCGTCTTTTTTTTTTTTTTTTTGAAGCACAGGTAGTGCCGCAGTGCCATTAATTACATCGTGCTAGTACCCTTCTGTTCGTGCGTGTCATTACAGTAATCTCGTTAACTGGTGCAGTTGTACTCACCTGAACTGATGTTACCAGTTTGCAATAAACTTCCTCCCTGTGTGAATGGAACGTGAAAGCAAATTCTCTCATGGGGACTCACAGAAGACTGCGTAGAGTTTGCATTTATTCTTAGGTTCTAACCATCTATATGAAACAATGTAACTTTAAAAGTAACGCAGAAACGACAAAGCAAACATCGGTGCTTCAACGTGCTTTATTTCGATTCTGCATGAATGCTTAACGTATATATGCGATTTCTGTATATGTACAAAGGTACTTCTCAAACATAGGACCCCGAGTAGCACGAGGCACATGTATATATAGGCACGTTAATATTGGCGACTCCGGGGAAGCGAGGTGTGATTCGTTGTTTGTATAGTTAATGGATTCGATGCGTTCCCAGTAGCGTAGTACGCCGGCTTTACCGGGTACAAAAAAAAAAACCCTATCTAGTACAAAAACAACTGCATGGCTCCACAAAAATTTAACATTGTACAAAAGAAAAATAAAATAAAATTAGTTTCTTATAAGAGGCACCGACGTGTAGGTGCATGCAGGAAAACGAAAAACAGCATATGCACAGCAGTTTACCACGCTGCATTTTATCTACAGTTTTTTTTTCTTTTCTGGATTCGCACCATTTACCGTTGCTCACGCTTGTTCCTGACACCCTGAAATCCTAAACCAATAAAGTGCACTATGGTCATCGAGATTGATTTGTTACGACCGCCATAGAGTGCACTGTGGTGAGCAATGTTGCCTTAGCCCTCCCGTCGTTGCTGCTCTTCGTGTCACGTGCCTTTCACGTCACAGTGCTCCGCTTCATTGACTACTCCATTGCTCCATTTCCCTTACCCGACTTCCGTTTCTCCATCGATAACATACTTCTCCAAACATCGCCTCAGTTCAAGTCTACGTGCCAACGCATCGAAACGCTCGAAAGACAAGCACATAGTGCGCGCACATCTCGATCAGCCAAACGTTATGCCTTTCGTTACGCTTTCTCCGGAATCGAGCCTCTCGCATTAAGAAAAGCGGCCAAAGGTGCACTAACTAGATGTGCATGACTCCTTCGTATACAAGCACAGCGTTTTCATGAACGCAAACGCTTCAGTGAAAGAAGACTCATTCGTAAAATGACAGAAAATCGCGTACCTAGAAAGAAATCGTAGATGCCCAGGGTTTGCCCTGCTGGCACAGAAATTCGATGAGGCTATTTTTTTCAAGCTGCCAGACATATTAGGTAGACAAATTAGGATATGTACCCTGAGACTTTGCGTCAAGTAGTACATGAATACAGTCATTTCACAGTAAAAACACAAAACAATCCGTCATTACTAAAACAACAAATGGGGTGGGGAGTGCAAAATTCACATCATGTCCGCATACTGTGTATCTGTATTATCTGCCTAGAGAAACATCGAAACGTTTTAAATGTAGATTTTTGACAAAATTATGACAAAGACAACGTCACCTGAACTGCACTCGACGTTTATCTGCAGATCATATGGTCCAACCTGATCAGCTTTCGAGCTATCAGGTTGGACGATAGCGAGATTTACAACCAACAGGTTCAGGCACACCACTATAGAGTCACTGACGTGAAAAAGAGTGACGCTATTACATTCATCACCACAACGACGAGAGCAGCGCCTGAATATTAGTGAGCGCGACTAGCATAGACGTCGACAGCCGAGGCTGACCCTGCAGTATCTTACTTACATGAAAGCATGAAACGGAACCCAAACGTCACTTCAGGCCACCTTCTAAGCTAAGCACTTCACTGCACTGAAATCTTTCGGCCTCTCAGGTTGCCCCGATAAGGCTTTCACGACAGTACGAACAAGCCGTGCAGCGGGTTGCTTGGGCACGCTTATAGTTGTGTGCAGAGGTCTTCCTGTGCGCTAGCCAATGCGCATGCGCGCTGTCGCGACAAGCGCAGAGACGTTAGCGAAACACGAGTGCGTGCAGTTGAGGCTCTCTTCCATTGTTAAGGGGCGCTAATCAACCAACAATGAGTGACCAAGTTTGCAGGCATTCCCAACAAAATACGTTGTTTATCCAGCATGGCAGAGCAGCTACTTACAATGAGTGAAGACATGCGCAAAACACACGCATACATAAAAACTTCTTCAATATTTCCCATTTCATCGCATTTGCTTCGAGCGATCTGCTACGCATGAATAGTGGCAGTGGATAGCTTCTTCAATTTAACTGTTTGACAATGTATTACACGCATACAGAAGAACATAGAAAGGCCGTATACGAGCAGCAGGCAGAATGTTGAGGAATAGAAACACTGCCGGAGAAATCACGGAAACTCGACCGACGCCACCATTTCGGAAAGTTTCGTTGCTCTAAGTCTAACATAGGCAACCTACCGCTGGCGCAGACAGGAGTGGTGGGTGGCTTGGAGGAGATTCACCCCATTTTAGATTGAGACGAAAAGTCATGAGGCTCATGTACTTAGATTTAAACGCACGTTCAAGAACCACAGATTACCAGTTTCCAGCGGCCTTCACTACGGCGTCCTTCATAATCATATCGTGGTTTCGGGACGTTAAATTCCCAACAATCAGTATTATTATTAGCGCTTGAACGCTACAGAGTGAGCATTGTGAAGTATGACAATTCGACAGCACGTTAGCAAAACGACACGAATTCTAAAGCATCACAATGTCATTTCAATACAACACTGAATACCATGATCAAAAGAAGTTGCGCATGCTAAATGAAGAAGTATGGGCAGTGTGCAAAAATTGGCAACGACGTCTTTGTAAAAGTTTCAAAAGTTTTTATACACCAAACTGATTCTGGCAATAAATATTTCTTTTTTTAGACATCTGAAGAACAATTGCACATGGGCCAGAATCGGATAACATGGAAGCACAACTGTCCTTTCTGTTCTACCCGTGTTGTGACCCTAACTTTCACGCACAAGTGGCCCGGTCATGACAAACACTTGCAGCACCACAGTAATATCTAAGCTACACTACCATTGTCAGTCTAGCATTTTCGCAATATAGCGGAGTAGTAAGTAATGCAGTGATCTTCCGAGACCTCTTACGAGCACTGTGAGCTCGGAAGTCCCGGTAAACGTCCGGCCATGCTCTTTCACAAGGCGAGGACTTCCACAGGGCCTTTTAGTTTATGCATGCCCGAAAACCTGAGGCGCTGCACAGACAACGCCCATTGGCCGGGGAGACGGCCTTGAGCAATTGAGCACAGTCTGTGTCGGGTAACTGAAGAAGACCAGTGATCACTACGCGGACATCTTCGGTCATCCATCTATGATATCCTCGGACTGCCCAAGACAACGCGTTCACAACGCTCATTCATTCGAGGCTTGGACTGTCCTGGACTTTACGCGACGGATAACCGAAGAAGTCCGCTAAAGCCGTGGTCCCCGAGATGTCCAACGGTCTTGCAGCTATCTCGGAGGTCCATAGATACAGGTCTGATCTGACTACACTTCGGCGGCAGCGTCATCACAGCAGCAGGGAGAAGGCGAGCACGGCCGAGGTTACGCCCAGGTTTGGACTGTCCTGGACTTCACGTGACGGATAACCGAAGAAGTCTGCTAAAGCCGTGGTCCCCGAGATGTCCAACAATCTAGCAGCTATCTCGGAGGTCTAGCTACAGGTCTGGTCTGACTACAACACTTCGGTGGCAGCATCATCACAGCAGCAGGGAGAAGGCGAGCACGGCCGAGGTTACGCCCAGGACGACCAGACTCGACGCCGACGTGGAGAAGGCCGAGCTGCACTTGCGGCTGTCGAACTTGTGGCACGTGTTGCGCACGTACTTCTGGGTCGAGGACTCGATGAACTTGAGGGCGTACTTGCCGGCCGCATCACCGCAGCTGTGGCGTACGTTCTTCATATAACAGTCGACGTAACTCGAGAACTTACTGCAAGACAGATACGAACAAAAAGGAAGCCGGGGGTGAGAGAGATTGTTTACAGGAAGTAGCTCTCTAGCACATCCGACTGGGAGTGTTTACTTACTGGCTCAGAGTGAAGTAGCATACGTGACCGTCTGCCACGTTACAATGAAGACAAAACAAAACCATGTGGTAGGCTCGATCACCCGAATGATAGTGTTTGAGTATGCTACACCCAATTGAGAACGTCAACAGTGCCAGTAAAAAGTTTGTTTTTGTGTTCACCAAATGCCTCCTCCGTCACGCTACATGGCTACTTCATGAAGGGAGACACAAAATCAGATAAAGGTTGTAACAGTTCTTTTGGCGTATTTTTGTAGATTTGGCGTCAATAGAGTGCTTATCAAAACATAATATCGATATCAAGCTTTGACTTATTTTAATTTCAAGCTGAAATTCCAAAGCTGAAACATAGATGGGACTACGCGGACATCGATGAGTTTTTATTCTTAATCTTACTGTTACATCTGACATTATTATTTCTTGAAACACAATACAGTAATACATTTGTCTCTACATAAGCTACATTCGTCCACATGTAACATTATTACCAAATCAACTTCTAAATTTTGTTTTTTTTTTTTCATTGGGATAGACAAAACCCTAACCTTCTTGTTCCGAACATTTAACAGCTTGTTACCAATTTTCAGTGATTCGACGTAAACGTCATTGACTCTGCGATAAGCTTCTGCTTCGAATAGATTACAGTTAGCTTTAAACTTTAACGCGTTTTATCATGCCAATCAACCCAGGGCGACAGAACGCTAATAGGCAAATCCGCCTAGCAAAAGAGCCAGAGCTTGCTCCAAAATCTTGATCGTACTCAACAACAACAAAAAATTCTATGTGTTGAAAATCCGGCTCATTAAATGCCCAGCTACGGAGATAGGTGATTTCAAACTGAGTGTGCTGAAAAGAGTTATCTTTTATCTTAATTCCTCTTAGGAGGAAGTTGCAGGAGAGAGGCTGTGTCTCTTTTTTGTTTTTGTTTTTAAATCGCGAATCCTGCTGACTAGCTCAAGCAGACAACTCAGTGAGTGAATATAATGATAGCGTCCTGGCTATCCAATCTTCTGCCCATCAGTGACAGCTTCGACAACTCACCAGCACAGGCCCTTCTTCTCCCTGTCCGATTTGTGTTTGTGGTCAATTCCGAATGCCTGTTCCAGCGCGCTAAACTCGTTCTTCCTTTTCCCGCAAGCACCGCTAGTGTCCTGCCAGCTTCTGCAGGCAGCCCAAGTACTTGAGGAGGCCTGCGAACGTCCCAACAACAAATAAATCAGCATACCTTCTAGTCACTTTACTGCCACATTTAGGCGATCTTCTACAGAACGAAGTCAGGAGGAAGGACATGGCGGCTGTGCCCTATCAAACTAACCAAATATATTCTGTTTAGATTTATAATTAATCGATGAAGCTTGTCCTTGTTGCGACAGGTATTCGGTCTATTCTGCACAATACTGCACACGGTATGAAATCATTACTCGCGGATCGTCGTCATAACATTCACCATCATCAACGTGTTTCATGGCTACTGCAGCCGCTTCCAGCGAATTTCATGCACCATTTTACTCGCGTCAGGCCAATCAAGCCTACCTAACCTCAACATACTGCCCATTATCCGCGATTTGATTGATATGTGGGGTGTAACGTCCCAAAGCCGCCATATGCTTATGAGAGAGACGTAGTGGAGGGCTCCGTAAATGTCGACCACCTGGCGTTCTGTGCACCCAAACCTCAGCACACGGGCCTACCGCATTTTTGCCTCCATCGAAAATATAGCCGCCGCAGCTGTGATTCGACCCCGCGACCTGCGGGTCGGCGGCAGAGTACGTTAGCCACTAGCTGCGGTGGGGCTGCCTATTATCCTGTGGTGCTCTTGTGTAATCTCTTCCTGCATTTGTTGTTCGCGTACACATGTTGTACGTTATCATAGTCGAATCAACAACCTGACTACACCAACTACAGGGGAAAGGCATCTGCCACCTGTTGTCAACCAGCTCGGTCCTGTAATTGCGCGTGCTTCTCCTACAGCCCAACCGTGCCCCAGCCTATACGCTATATCCTTATGAAAAAAAAGCAGTGTAAATTCAAGGGCTCGTTTTGCTAGTCATACACAACAGTAATGAGAACAGAAAATAATGCCAAGGAAAGCATATATGGATGTTATTAGATGTAATTATAATGTAAATGTGAAGAAAGACAAGTTGACGAAAAGAAAATTTGCCGCCAGCAGGATCGAAACCTGCGACCTTTTCTTTTCACGCGCTTTCTTTTCTTCACTTTTACATTACAATTATTTCTAATGGCATCCTCTATATTTTCCTAGGAATCATTGTTAGTTATGATGAAAACTATATCCATATAAAGTACCAGGTTTCCGTTCTTTCTGGACTAAATCTGTTGGCATTTTGTACGTTAACCATTTATTTACCAGTCGGTCTTGGGACCCACTGGTCACTCGTCCCCATTGGGTTCATTTTTTTTTCTCCACGCATTCTACTTACGCCAAAACAGAACGCTGAATTTCTATCTACACTTAGCGAAGAGCTACGAATCTGAATAAGCAAGACTAAACAGCACTTACAGATTGCCCCATTCCTCCCATCTCAGTGTATCAGGCCTATTTGCTAGACAAATGATGTAAAAGGGTCACTGATTCCTTATAACCTAATCTATATGAAACATTCCATCGCCCAGGAGTCACGGTTTCGGTCCTCGGTGCTTTCCTAGTCGTCCATACTGGCCAACTCATTCACCATTTTTTTTAACATGTCATCATTCCTTGATCAGCTGATATTTGTAACAATAGGCAAGAACGTCTTATGACTTCCAATTGAAAAAATACCAAGGTGGGGGGAGGCGAACGCCCTGCCCCAGAGTAGGCTCACCACATGTCCCAGTTGTAATATGTTGCAATAGGAAAATAAGTGCTGTAGCCAAACTCGTGACCTTGGCAGCTGTTCAGCGCTGCCGCTGCTCGGGGTGTCGTATCGTGGTTAAGATCGTGCCAGTAAAGCTGTTGAAAGTTAACGCAAGGTATGTCTTGACGCTTTGGTATTCTTTTGTGCCTGCAAGGCACAGCCAGCGATTACTGATCAATGAGAAGGAGCCTGGATGAATGCAAATGCAGAGTTGAGGCTTCACAAAAACAACAAGCCAGATAAAACGTCCTTGCCCCAGCTAGCTGTTACAAGCGTTGCGGTGATGTCATCTGTATTGTGGCAGTGACGCTACTTGTAGCCAACGCAGCCAATCGCGAGAAGTATGTTAGTTACGGAGAGTAAGGTGACACGAACATCAACTAAAGATAAGGGTGTGGCCCATAACTGGCCTGCAATGATGCAGTACCGAAGGCGTAAGGCGTCATGGACGGGAACGAATGGCACTCACCACTGGAGTCAGCCGCTGCGTCACGTGGTGCCCACACCAACAACATGGCGACGACCATGATCACAACAGACACAACCACTGGTTTCGTAGCCATGGCTTCGCAACACAAGCGGCGCACTCACACGCGACTGCTCACCTAGGACGCCGACGCCTCGAAATAGAACTGAGCGTCCCGCAAACCTACACCGCCTGCCGCGCTGGAGGCTGGCAAGCAAGTAGAAGAGTCCCGGTGTTCGCAATGGCGGCTACCGAGGTGGGCGGCAACTCGCGGCGCGCAGATGAAACACGTCTGCCTCGGCGTTGTTGCACGGGCACTCCCTGGATTCCGTTTCGCAAACGTCGGAGCGGATTGGCAGTCTTTCTTGCTTGACTGGTTGACGCTTGGAACACGAGACAGCGCGTACGCGTGTTGCGGTTAGCGATCTTGCGGGCTCGCAACGTGCGCCACCGCGCGGAAGGCGCCAATGACGAAAGGCCTTGGAAGAGCTTCGTGTGGGCACGCGCTCCTTGTTGGGAAGCGACGGAGTGCCGGCGGCCGGAGCAGAGTAGGGCACCGGGTTGCGCAGAAAAGCGCGCGAGCGCTTCTTTCTTCATTTATTTCTCCCTTTCCGCGATTCGGTGGGAAGGAAGAGCCCTGTACTCGAGGAGAGTGCGGCCAACGGAGGAGCGGTGGCTGCCGCTCGCTTTGATGACTGTGCGGCGGCTGTGGGAAGCCGTCCAAGTTCGCTATCGGCGACTTCCTTTACGGAAGATTTTTTTTCTTTAACTTAGTGTATTTATTCGACGCCAGTATGCAAGTTTATCGCGTCATTTCCTACCAGCTCCACGTTCCGCCGCCGGTGTCCTGCATAGGTGGAAAGGAGAACCCGCGCACACTGGTCCACTGCCACAACTCAGACTACACCCACACTTGACCTGTCAGCGGCGCTTGGCCTAGTTTGGCTGTGCTACTTTTAGTTTATTCACTTTCTTTTTCTTTACCGTGCCTTTTGAGGCAGAAAGAGCAGGAAAATGCTAATTATGCTCTCTCTGGTATTTAGAGCGAGGAGTTTCGGATTAGAGCCTGCGTACTTATGGCGCGTCATTGCCATCAGTAACTGATAGAAGACACTGAAATTCCCAAGACTGAAACTTCAATAAGAAATTCCGGCAGAATGTGCATTCCTGATGCACTTCTGTGTATAAGTCGACAAAACAACATCGGAGCTCACTCAAACTCAGACTCACAAAAAGTTCCCCCAACCTGGATCGCTCTCACTCAGACTTACTCAACTCAACCGGAGTAACGCAGACTCAAACTAACGGCTTAATCGGAGTCTGAGTCGATAGCTGAGAACGTTAGCGTAAACTTTGCTTTCGATCATGTTATAAGTGGTCTTTACCGCCAATATTTCACATATATCAATGCCCTACGACACGCATTTTAATCTTGTACTTTCAAATACAAGTTATAAGTGCTTTCAATGCAGTAAGGACGTTTTTTACGGCGTACGTGACTCACATGAGATATTTCTCTGAAGAATAGTGTATGAAGAACGTTCCAAAAAAGAAGCTTATGGGGTTGGCCCCAACTCACGCCTCTTGTCAATATACATTAACGTGCTACATGAACGCAAGTGCCTTCACAGCCTTGAAAATGTGTAAATAGACTTGAGTAAAAACGTAAGTCGATATAAGACTTGTAGTTATGCTGAAGATGCGTATAGGAGACCATATGTCATCAATAAAAAGCGGAGCTCACTCAGACTGACTCAAACAATATATTTTGCACAAATTAAGCACACTCGGACTCAAACTTCCCGATATTTTCCTCAACCGTGCTTACTGGGGCTAAGCCTCTCTAAAGACTTTTTCGGACGGACTTGCTCGGACTGAATCTCCCACACATATTGCTCACCTGGACGCACTTACATCCATGGCTCGAGACAGCGGGTTAGACCCGCTGTGTATCTGTACCGTCACCTTTCGTGCCATACCATTCCACAGGGTCCCTCGTGCTATCTGTATTAATAAATAAACGAAATTAGTCAAGTTGGAACCTTTCAACTCACTCAAGGCATGACCATGTTTATTTTTTCCCCTTGATTTTATTTAAAAACAGTCAGAAGTACTGGCCGTTGCTGAAAATGGCAAGAGCTCCTTCATTTTATTTCATTTAAAGCAAAAAGAGGAAGACAATAAGAAAAATCGTCCACAACGGGCCTCTGTGCCCATGGTAAATGATCGCTTCCATTTCGATGGTGTCCAGAGCACAGTCTGCAGTGTCAACTTTCGGATTTCCGTCACGAAGCCAAACAAGCCGACGTTCGAAGCTATTCGATCCCTCTGCGATACGTTTCGAGCGGAGCAAGGTTCTCGCGAGGGAATCAATACATGATCGAGTTGAGCGGTAGACGTTGTAACTTCATGAAAACTATGGAAGTAAAGAGAGAGATGAAGGGGAGCGCGAGGAGGTTAAGAAAGGGGAGCGGAGCAAAGAAAGAGGAGAACACGTTCGAAGCGACGCATGCGCACTGGCTCGCGTTGGCCGTACGCTCTCCTTCCCCAACCGTTCGCGTTTTCGAGGTCACGGCCGCTGGCTGCTCCGTCTGTCGTTCGCAGACGGCCGCCATTTTGTGTTCTCCTCCGATGTTCTCTCGCCCATCACTTCTTCCCGCTTCTTCTTCCACTTCCTCGGCGCTTTTAGGTTTTCCGTTTGTTTCCTGCACGTTTGTACTTCCTTCCTCTTTGCTGGAGTCTCTCCTTCTCTCTTTCTGTGTGCTTTCGTTCTTCTGTTCGTTTCGTCAGACCTACCCGATGTGCCGTCGTGTTAGCTCTTTTCAATCGATTTTGTAAAAGAAAGGAAGAAGGAAATAAAGAAAGAAAGAAAGAAAGAAAGAAAGAAAGAAAGAAAGAAAGAAAGAAAGAAAGAAAGAAAGAAAGGAAGACCTCATTTATTCCTCTCTTAAATCAGCTGCGCAACGCAGAGTTGCGTGCCGCTCGCTGCGTAATGGGCTTGATTGAGTCGAGGCGTCTATTTATGGAAATTAGCTCGCGCGCGTGCTCTATAACAGGGCTTTCGTAGAAATGAATCCGCAGAAACGTAGAAGTAACTTCGACGCGTTTGAAGCCGGGCCGCTCGGAGGGAGCTGTAGAATTCGAAAAAATCGTTATTCAAATGTCATCGTTTTAAGCGTGGACACGTTCTTCATTTGTTTTATTGTGCTTTTCTTCGCCACTGTTCAACAAGCGAGCAAAATGCTTTTCCGCTGAAAGATGATTTCATTATGAGTCAGATATGAATTTTTCGTCGATGTGAGAACAGTGCATGATTAATATTCGTGGAATTGAGTGGAGTGTACGTGGTTCAGCAAGTTGAACACGATAATCAGTCCGCGTGGCGGGTGGCGCTGTCTTGTGCCATCTGCGAACAATGGATGTTTGGATATCTAAAGCTGCTGTACTGCAGTATCAATGATTCTGTTTACAATTGGATATCATAAAATGTCATCTCGTTGTCTTTAGAGATCACCGGTGGTACAATAAAGCGCCAGCCGCCATGAGGACCGTGTAGCAAGTTTCATTTTCTGAGCCCTGCACGTGTTTTGTGTCCGTACGGTAAAATTTCAAATCCGCGCAGGTGGTACTTATTCGACAACTGCTTGCCCCGACAATCTGTTGTTGAACTCGGACCAAATGTGCAGTCCCATAGCGTGAATATGCGAAAGTCGAATGGTTTTTGTTTTTGAGGAGCTCGTTTTTTGTAAGTTTAGGCGTGTGCAAGGATGTAGGGTGGTTTGCCCCCTACTCCTGGTTTCCCAAGAGAGGGAGGCGGGAAGATTTCCCCATTCATTAACTTAAGTCATGAGAGGGCACTGCGGTGAACCCACCCCGCCTCCGCCTAAAAGAAAGCAAACCCCGCGAACTTTTATGCTTGTGAGGCAGAGACCAAATGTACACAAGAGATAATGCAAGCAAGCGTAACAAACTTCTTTTTTTATTTTTAGCTGTGGTGTAGGAACTATTGCGTAAATATAGGCTAATTAAAATGGACAAAAACGCCCTTGTTCAACGGTGGTATCCGAACGCACAACCTTCTAGTCACAAATCCTTCGAATGCGTGTAATTCCTGGGAGTATTAGCCAGCGCCACACGTAGCCATGGCCGTGAGTTAGTAATATACCTAAGCCAAGCGAGATTTATCTATCTATCTATCTATCTATCTATCTATCTATCTATCTATCTATCTATCTATCTATCTATCTATCTATCTATCTATCTATCTATCTATCTATCTATCTATCTATCTATCTATCTATCTATCTATAACGGTGGTCTTTTCGTCAGTAACCAATTCCACCATACTTAATTCGCATTTCCATTGCATGTTTTTCTTTCTTTTTTTTGCTTTGCATGTTACGTGCATTCTTTTTTCTAGGAACAAGCGGTGCAGTAGAGAGAGAGATAGAAAAAAGAAAGAAAAGCAAAAAAGTGAGCAACCGCAAAGCGATGTCGTAGCAATATATCTCGAGCAGAGGAAGGAGAGAAAGTGATTCATGTCGTTTCCTCGGCGGCCACGCAGCCGACACGGCATGTTTACTCAAACGTGCCTCGAAGCAGCAGCCGACAACGCCCGATGGGTGAGGCTGGCACCGGATGCGCTCTGCGGCTGCTGTGCGCTCCTTCAGCAGTCGTCGTATCAGAGATACTCCATTAGTTCTCACAGCAGCTGCCGAATGGAGCTCCTTGATGTCATAGTTCAATATACTAAATTGTGGCTACACATTATGGCATCGCATGACCCTTCAGGAAAAGGGCAACCAGATAGCGACACCTGATAATGCAACTTGAGAACTGTTTACTTCCAGAAAAGCGGTGGACTAATGGCTAATTGATTTGAGAAATACGCCAACGATTCCTTTTCGTTCTTGCTTCCGTTAGAGAGCTTCCTTTCTTTCGGACTTGACCAGAGAAAAAGTGAGCTGGATTGCTGAGTTGTAACTTGCAGCCTCGATCCCCCCTCCCCCCTTTTACTGGTAACTTTGTGCACATGTATGCTCATCAACTTTTTTTTACCATTCCGCTCACATGCTCACTGGCACATAAGCTCACTCACTCACTCACTCACTCACTCACTCACTCACTCACTCACTCACTCATTGACCATTATGTCTACACACTCGTCAGCCTCGATCCCCCCTCCCCCCTTTTACTGGTAACTTTGTGCACATGTATGCTCATCAACTTTTTTTTACCATTCCGCTCACATGCTCACTGGCACATAAGCTCACTCACTCACTGACTCACTCACTGACTCACTCACTCACTCACTCACTCACTCACTCACTCATTGACCATTATGTCTACACACTCGTCAGCCTCGATCCCCCCTCCCCCCTTTTACTGTAACTTGTGCACATGTATGCTCATCAACTTTTTTACCATTCCGCTCACATGCTCACTGGCACATAAGCTCACTCACTCACTGACTCACTCACTCACATCACTCACTCACTCATTGACCATTATGTCTAC